AAGAGCTTTCTCGGCATTCTGCAAAGCTGTTTCCAGAGATTGTTGGCTGGATATGTTATGATGATACTTATCCTGATAGAATCTATACATTTCGACCAACTCTGTTCCAGAAGCAACCACCTGTAGACATGTAAAATACGAAAGATATAAGCCATGTGTACTAACGTTAAAAAAAATAATAATAATATAAAATAAAAATACAATAAAACAATAACTACATACCCTTATAAGATCATGCATATGCTGGGCAGCAACGAGGCCGATAAGTCCAGACGGCCTATCAACTGGAGTTGAGACATTTCGAAGAAGCCGATATCCCAAATTTCCACCCCGTAAAGGATCGTCAGTAAAAATGGATTCGTTACGAAAAACGTCCATTTTAGGCCGCCATTGATCACGAGAACGGCTCTCTGGAGCCTTCACCCTATCCAGAACCTCATCTGGAATCTTTCCTTCAACATGTTCAATCCACTGACCACCCCGATAAGTAATACCGGGAATACTTGTATCGGAATTGACAGGGCCAACCTGTTGAGGTTCAGCAGATATGGGAACAGTTTCCTAATAGAAAGCAAATCATTAAAAAATGATAAAAAATAATAATAATGGTATGATAAAAATTATTTAGCCGTTATCAGTAATAGATTTTTCTATACAAAGATTATTACCTATTGAAGAACAGGAGATACAGTAAGATCTTCAACCACTTTACCGGCATTTATATTGGTTGTTGCCATTGCCGAGACTGTTTGTTCAGGAACTGAAGCTTTAGGCGGCGAAGGGGCCTTTGGCTGCTCAGTGTCGGTCTTTGACCGCTTCGATGCCGGTTCATCTTCTTTTCTTGTTGAAACGGCAGCAACACTACCACCGCGTCTGTTAGCCAATGAGGTCAGACGGCGATTTCTTATCACATTCTCATCAGCCATCTCTTCTGCTCTTCTTTTAGGATTACGTGTAGGGGCACGTGAGCAAAAGGAGGTAAAAGTCTCTAATGCTGGTCTTGGAGATGGAGGACAGCGGGACACCACTCTTTTGCCGTCAGGAGATAGGCCGAGAGCTACCTTGTCCAATTTTTGTGGACCTACATGTCAAAGATTGTTAATAAGTTGTTAAAAGCGTATATCTATATAAGAATACGATAACAAAAATATCATATTAATGTGAAAGCACTAACAAAATAAAGGATGACAATAATTTATAAGGTTAGTACCATAAGCATCAGTCCAACATAGACCAATATGAGATAGTGGTGCGTTATTCAAAATGTACTTTACATTTGGCAACCACACTTTCGGAGAAACACGAGTTTTCCCGCCGATATTAGCCCTAACGGCATCAAAGTAATAGCAGGCCTTCTGTTCTTGAGGGCCAAGGTCTCTCTCGGCAATATGGCCGAAACGAGGATGAGGCCGAAAGAAAGTTCTCCGGATAGGAAAATCTTCCGGAACACTCATAAAAAAGAACTTATCCTGCCAACCTTTTCAACTTGATAACTTAGAGTTTACAGTGAACTTGTGAGAGGTCGTATATAACGACCACCAACCTTCATATTGTCTATCACGTTTCAAAGTTATTGACCTCCTAAATAAGTTCAAGGTTAACGGAAAACTTTTAAACAGCAAAATCCAAACCAGAGCAATAACGACACGGATAGTAGGAGGAGTAACTTGTACCAGGAATACATTCTAGGCCTTAAAGATTTTAGCGATAAAAGGATGAAGAGGAAATCGGAGGCCGAATTCGAAGTGTTTGGCATAAATAGCAATGTGACCGTCAAGACAGTCAAGGACGGAAGCAGAGGGTGGTGGAAGTGTTAATCATACCCATCCGGCAAACCGTAAAATCTTTTTGCCTTACGACAATATTCCTTTTCTTCAACTAGTTTCAGCCAAACCTTGCTAACACTAGCCTCAGCAACCTTACTATTAGAGGGTAAGATAAGGGGTTGTCGGTAGTCAACCTCATCGGTTTCAGAATCATATTCCTCATCTAAACTTTCCTCATGAGTAACTTCAGCCATGAGGTCAATCATTTCGGCTCTCTTAGGGCTTTTGGCGTTATCACCCTGATTTACCTCTTCATCACTATCGTCGTCATCATTCAACACAGATTTGATAGCGGAATCGTGGACAGGAGATTTCGAACCTTCTTCAGACTCGGAGCTAGAAGAACTTATAACTTGCGCCTGACTAGGCCTTTTGCTAGTCTCAGGCCTAGAGCTCGGTCCAGCCTCAACACTAGGCCTCGCGGCACCATCTGTAGTCTGAGATGGGTAATCAATCGACTTAGATCTCGACATACTGGAGGATCTAATATGAATATTTCCGACGTTAGTTCCGTATTGGTCAAAATCAGGTTTGTTGGAAAAACTCCGCAAGTGATATCGGATGCTAACAGGTTCAATTTCAAGAACCTCAACGTCCTCAGGAATATTAGGGTTTGTAGGGCGTTGTGCCTTTTCACAATCTGCTAGTATTTTATGACGATAAAACGCCTCCTTTTGCTCTTTCTCTGATAACGGCTGAAAAGGGTCGTCAATATTATCAGACAAAGATGAAACCCCACTTTTGTTATGGCTAAGATCTTTTCCCAAAGACTCCCGAATAAGACGCCGCCTAGCAGTACTAAGGATGGGTTGTTCTTCTTCAATATTATTATTGGACATTTAATAAACCAACTAAAAACTAAAAAATGGGCAAACAGCGAATGTATTCCAAGGCATGCAAATTGAAATTGAAATCTTTAAAATACCTTAAACTACTCGATGGCAGCGACGACGCAAAGAAGAATATTTGATGCTTCAACAAAACGATAAGTCCAGCGAAGTCCAATTGCAGTTATCCTAAATAAAGATCGCAGCTTTCTCTGGTAAAATTCGCAATTTTTTATGAAGGAAATGTGAAAATGCGAAAAGTAAAAAAAAAAAAAAAAAAAAAAAAAAAAAAAGAGAAAAAGAGGTTTCAAATGAGAATGCTAATAACAAGTGACAATGTTAGATCATTTGATCAAACGTCCTCACTCGGGGGGCTAGTTGTATGGGAAAATATTTATATAACGGTTATCATCATAGGCCGATATTGTATGACAGGCCGATATACTATTTGAATCCGGTCCATCAATCACTCTTGTTAATATCGGCATTTATGTATAAAGTATACATATCAGCATGTAAGTAGCTGACACGTGTCGTTCTCACGTTTGTCACGTGGCAGAAATTATATTACTTGTTAAACTGCCACCTGTCACTTAATTAACCTATAAATAATCTGATTTTACCTCATAAATAAGGTAGCATTTATTACACTCTTTCCCTCACTACTTTCTCTCTCTCATTACTTTCTCTCTCTAAATCATCTTTTCTATAAACACTTGCTGACTTAATCTTTGGAGCGGTTATCCCCGTATTCACCCCGGCGCTAGCTAATCTCTTCCCTGTGTGTAGGTTCTTATTTGGCCGATAGGAGCAGAACGGATTATACACTCGAGCTTCGGATCTTGGATTTGGACTATCGGATTCTTGCAGAAACAACATGTATTATTTTTTTTATTTTTAAACAACCATCAAATACGTAGATAATGTCAAATATCAATACCAAAAGCGTAAAGCAACTAAAATAATAAATATGGGGGAAGTACGTGAAAAATATAGGTGTTAGTGTGAATGCTGGACGTTGCCGAGGCTCAATATACGCTAATATAATACTTCGTATAATTAAAATTAATTAGCAAATTTAATATCATACCATAAGGCCATGTTCGTTTTGTATTTAAAGGCGGTCGTTTACATTGCATGTTGATTAATCATCTTTAAAAAATTTCATAATCACCAACTCGGCAACGTTGACCAGTTATCTTGGATTATATAATTAATTTTTTAATATTAAAGACTACCAATTACCATAAATTAGGGTTGATAGGGCAATTTGTACAAATTAGATAAGCTTTAATAAATTTTTCTTCTATATTTTGGTACGACGCAGGACGTATCAATAGTAGATTAATAATGCATATAATTTGTAATGATAACAAACACGAAGTACAGTTTGGTAACGTAGAATAATGTTTGATAACAATGATATTTATGAGGATGATATGACCGACTCAAACTCAATAGCCGGATTTCAAGAGTTCTGCCATAACATCATCACGTACTCAATGGAACCAATTGGCCAATTGTTTTCATTTTTACAACATGCTTGGCAAATTTTGTGTATTCTCTACGATTTAATTTAAGTGTTACACCTAGATTGATACATAATTATAGGTATTATAATTGTCTTAATTATAAAAAAAATGTTTATGAGGTAGGTATTAAAAAATTACAGAGTATATAAAAGATAGTGGGGTTAATTAATTGTAAAATGAGGGACATAATAGAAAAAAGATAGCCAAATAATAGAGTGGAGACCACGGGAAAAGTGAAAACTTAGTAATATTTAGGAAAATTTGTCTATAAGGGACTTATATCTTCACTCTTTTGTCTGGAAGGACCTTATATGTTCAAAGTGGTCTAAAAGGACCTTATAAGTATGTTTTGTTGTCTAGAGGTACCTTGACGTCGGACTCCGGTGTTTGACTTTTTTACTCCGGCGTTGACCAGACCAGTCACGTGACTATCACGTGACTTTAAAAAATTACCCTCCCTCTTATTTTTTTTCCCTTTTCCCTCCAAATCATATTCTCTCTCTTCTGTTCCCCAAAATTTTTCCCCAAATTGTTTCTCTCTCCTAACGAAACAAGCTGACTAAATCAACAATTGGATTTCCTGAATTTTCAAAGAAATTCAAGCAAGGAGCGTTCGATTAAGTCCTTTTCGCATCAGGTGAGAACAATTCGTACAATATTTTTCCCCAATCCCATTGTTTTAAGCCTAAGTTTAATTGTTTGGAAAATTAGGGTTTATAACTCAATTGGTTCTAAAATCATGTTTTTTTTGGTTGTTTAAGGATGTTTTCGACTAAAAGGAAGTTATCAAAGTGCAATTGTGGTGGCTTGTAGGGAAAATGAGAAGATAAGGTTGATTGATGAACGTGAGAGCTTGAAGAACAAGATGATGAGGAGCAAGGAAGGTGTTCATAAAACTTTGATCAGGACTGAAAATTGGGGATTGATGTTGATTTGTGTGATTTTGTCTATTATTTGTAGTTTGATTATGGTGAAGTTATGTGTTTCGTGAGGAGAGAAACAATTTGGGGGAAAATTCTGAGCATATAATGTGAATTGGAGGGAAAAGGTGAAAAAAAAAGAGGGAGGATGATTTTTTTAAGCCATGTGATAGTCACGTGACTGGTCAACACCGGAGTAAAAAAGTCAAACACCGGAATCCGGCGGCGTCAAGGTCCCTCTAGACAACACAACAAATTTATAAGGTCCTTTTAGACCACTTTGAACATATAAGATCCTTCCAGACAAAAGAGTGAAGATATAAGTCTCTTCCAGACAAATTTTCCTATTATTTAAATTAATAGGTTGCAAAAAAAGAAGTGTAATAACACACACTTCCTCCGTTTCTATTTAGTTGACGCGTTTGATTTAGACACATATATTAGAGAGATGAGAGATAGGCTAAGTAATTCTGGAATAGATAAAGTGATAAACCGAAAACCACCTCCAAAGTTCAAACGTAAGATGTTACACAAAAAAGAAAAAAAAAAAAAAAAGAAATCTTAAGGTAAGACTTATTTGAAAAGCTACTCCAAATTTTGGGTTTGACTTAGTATTTATTGAACATTGCAATTTTATAATTGTTCTCTCTCATACGTACAATATTCGTTCCATGTGAGGTGGTTACAAATCGCTTGAAATTAGAGAGAAACACACCTACTCCATGCGTATATGAGGAAGCATTGTTTCTACGTTTATATCATCAAATACAGCAACATTCTCTATCACAAACCCCCTTCATTATTCTTAGCTTCTTTTTTCTCTGGTTTTGAACTTAAAAAGAAAAAAAATGAGCAAATCAGCCTTAGCCATTTCTACTGTTTTTCTAGGATTATGTATCCTAAACATTAATGTTGATGCATTTGTGGCTTCTGGATGGCAGAAGGCTCATGCCACTTTCTACGGTGGTAGTGACGCTTCTGGAACTATGGGTATGTGTTTCCCCCTTCATTTAATTGACTTACAAATCATTCACTTCTTTGGCCAATATTGATCGTGACATAAAAATCGAAGCAACATAGGACTGAATTTTTTTTTATATTTATTGTTGTTATGCAGCCGGAGCATGTGGGTATGGGAACTTGTACTCCACTGGCTATGGGACTAGCACCGCGGCTCTAAGTACTGCATTGTTCAACAATGGTGCCGCATGTGGGCAATGCTACAGGATCATGTGTGACTATAACACGGATCCCACGTGGTGCAGGAAAGGAGCCTCGGTCACTATTACTGCAACTAATTTCTGCCCTCCAAATTATGCACTGCCTAACAATGCTGGAGGTTGGTGTAATCCTCCTCGCCAACACTTTGACATGGCCCAACCTATTTGGGAGAAGATTGGCATTTACAGAGGTGGAATCATTCCTGTCATTTTCCAAAGGTAATTAAATGAGAAAATTTATTTGGCCCTAGTCTTAACAAATAACACATACTTCAATTCCTCTGTTTTTTATTACTTGACCCGCTTTGACTTTTACACTATTCACCACCTCTTCTTTGACCGTCTTTTGTGAATAATATCTAAGGAAAAATATATTTATGTATGATCTTTTTGGATTCGTCTCAATAAGTAATATCATAATATATAACTTTATAATTTTTACTTATGAAAAATTTAAGTTATTGATCGTTAAAGTTTTGTATTGACAAGCGTGATAAAAGAAACAAGTCAAGTAAAAAAGAACTGAGGAAGTATATGATATAGTTGCACTTTGATGCACATATTATATGATATACGTCCAAGTACTGAATTGTTTTTCATTTTGTACAGGGTTCCTTGCATTAAGCAAGGAGGAGTGAGATTCACTATCAATGGAAGGGACTACTTTGAGCTTGTATTGATAAGCAATGTAGGTGGAGCGGGATCAATCCAATCTGTTTTGATCAAGGGATCGAAAACCAACTGGATGGCGATGTCTAGAAATTGGGGGGCTAATTGGCAGTCTTTAGCTTACCTTAATGGACAATCTCTGTCCTTTAGAGTTACTACTACTGATGGCCAAACTCAAACATTTAACAACGTTATTCCTGCTAATTGGAGATTTGGACAGACATTTACGAGTAGTATACAGTTCAAGTAACAATATGGAGCGCGTTTGCATTATAATGTTACCGTTTGGGTTTAAGCCAGGACTAAGGTTCGTTGGCAGAGGTGTGCTCAATGCTTGTTTTTTCCCATTGTAGCAACCCGCCAACTCTTATTATTTGGCTAAATCAAGAGAGTAACTAGGAATTATGTAGTTACTTTCACATATATTACGTATATGTTTTACAACATAGTTTGGTTTTGTTTTGTGTAGTTGTTGGGCAAAGAATTTATTTGTATTTGAATTCAAGATCTCGTCTATTGTACCTTACAGTATTGAATGAAATATATACAATACTATTTACTAATATACTAAAACATAGTTTTGTCTTTCCTCATTTTACTTAATTGTGCAATATTCTGGTTGAAATATATACTCTTTAACAGTTAGTTTACGAACTCAACATCGAAGTAGCTAGGAGTGACTAGTGAGCCTAGGACCATAGCATGCACAAGGTAAGTGGATTTGAGTTATGCCTGAGTGTTGTTCAAACAAAATTGGCTAACCATGACTAGTATACTCCCTCCGTGTTTTAAAAAGTGTTCCACTTACCAAATCTGGGCGTGTTTTTATAAATGTTACACTTCCTTTTTTGGCAAAAAACTACATTAAAATATTATATCTCTCTCCTCTCATGATCCCACCCAAACTCACTATTACCTTTTTTTATTATATCCTTCTTCTTACATTCATTACTTTTCAATAAATTATTAACCCGACTATTAATATAGGATGTCATATTGTCATGCTTGCAACCAAATTGAAGTTTAAGGAAATTTAATTTTTTATACGATGAAACTTCAATATTTAAACATCCACCACAAAAAGAATCTATAATTGAATAATTAGTAAATGGTGTGAACATTGTTCACATCCCTTCCTTTGCTTACCAATCCTTGAACCCTTGTCCTCGTGCAACCAAGCAAATGATCGATGCCAACAAGACACAAGGAAGGTTGGTTATTAGTAAACGGTGAACTAGTTTTGTACACAATGTGTATACTGTATAGTGTATACACCTTTCATTTTATTTAAAGTGTCTTATTTTGACTTTTTGCAATAATTACATAGCTACTTTAATTAATGATCGTTAATGAGCTGCGCTAATCCCATCACTCTTGACATATGACCAAAGCAGAATATCAAAACCAAAACACTATCAATATCTTGTATAGCTAATAAATCAACCTCTATCTTCTAATTAAGGTTTACCCTCACAATCAATAAAAAGCCCAAAATGTCTACGCTGCAACATCTTATAATTGAAATAGGGTAGTGGTTAAGTTTAATAGCTAATTAAACAATAAGTATATAATAGCCTTGGTGGGGTGTCCTTCTCTATTGCTTTGTGAATATTGTGATCAATGTGACAATAAACTAAATCCAGAGTCTCATTATTTTGCACCATCTTTTGTTGCTGAAAATTAACAAGTTAATTATTTTATGAATCTCAAACTATTAAATCAATAAAAATGTCATAGAGAATTAAGAAATAATCATTCAATCAATAAACTCTATCACTAAATAATACAAATAGATTATTTACGTACGTTTGACTTCATTATATGGTTGATAAACTTGATACATACTTGTTAATCATTGTTAATTATAAGCCAATGATGAAGCATCAACTTGAGTATTGAATTGTACTTTTGTACTATTGTACGTATTTGATTGGTTTTCCTTTGACCGATTTAAGTAATAATGCTACGGATGTTGAACTTAAGCACGAAAAATCATGCGTATAATGGGGGAATATAGGTGATCAATGTGAGCTTATGATTAAACGTGACTAGCTATTGTTTTAGTTAACTGCTGATCATAAATTTGACAATATACACAAGCAAATTAAATCCAAGTTGTCAACTAACTTTGCACTTGTAATATTCGTCAACGAAGTCGATATGTCATAGATATCAATGTTTAATTACTCATAAAGGATTTTGAATCGAATAAATATAATAAAAACCATATTTTGCGAATCCTTTGAATTCCAATCCGCTTCTGCATTGAGGTAGGGGCCTTTGTGAACCCTGCATATAGGCATATTTACAATTTGGAGATGTCTTTACAAAGGATGTGCTATATTCACTTGATTTTTTTTTTCCTCTAAATTTATTTTACCTTAACTTACACGAAATTATCTAGACTTATTAGACTTTGTTAAGACTTATTATCGTGTACCTGAAGTCAATATGCACGCAATTGACAATATGCTCATAATGACCACAATTTTAATGTGTGACTTTTATTAAAACTTGTGTGAAATTACTATCAACCTCAAGTGCACACATGTCAACTGATGGTATGTTGAGTATAATGACCCTACTTTTAATAAATATAATGACCTTTAAAAATTCATATATATGGACCAATATGGGCCACTATATTAAAACTTTAAGTAAAAAAAAAAAAATTAACTTTAAACAAAACCATATAATATTACAATGACTTTTATTTAACATAATAATAATCTTTAGTTTAACACAGTGACCTTTTTGAATCAATAAAACGACTATAATGTCACCATTCTTAGTGGTCTACAATAAATTAATGTGAATCATAACTATTTATTAAGAGTTTGTAATATGAACTTGGGTAACTCTTATCAAAACCGATTTTATCATGTTTTCCTAATCGAGTTAAAGAAAAATAAGGAGAATGAGTAGACAATGAAAAGTGTGTCACGTTAACATGGATCATTAATGTGAGCAAATGATTAAACACTACTTCTGTATCATGCAAAATTGATTATAATTGTACTTTTGTACCTGTCCGTAATGCTTAGTTACTTGCAATTAAAGCAATAAAGTTGAAGCTTACTCATTTAATTAACTCCTTTTTTTTTTGACGGGCATTTTATTAACTTCCAAGACTCAACATCTTCTCAAAATTAGCACATGGCATATTGGTTCGTTAGGTCATTGCTGACTAAATATTATAGACGGCCATCTTAATTATTAGCTTCATAATCATTAACATCAATATTATATTATATATAGTTCATTTTCTTAATATTATCTCATAATCTTCAACGGAATAATAGGAATGATAGGGCAGTTATTAGTTGATAATCTCTAGTTTGTATAAGTTAAAGGACGTATCAATTTATACAATGATACAAGTAATTGGTAGCTTAAAGTACGGAAAGTAGATAGGTAAGACATTATATTGTGGTTGCTAACGCAGACTTAATTAGAAGGCAGCCTTCAAATGCGCAGCATAACATGAGCACATGTATATTGTCATACTGATTTTAGTCTTGGGATCTAAATGACCTTTCATTTTAGAATTAGGCAATACTTCTAGATAAGGGATAACCTTTAGGCTCGTGATTGTTACGTGATTTTTATGAGATCTACAATATGTTGTTGCACTATAAATTTGTTGTATTGCGTACATGTACAAAAGATTTAATATGAAAATCTTTTCTTGAAGCGGATCTTAATCTAAAAAAAAATTGATTAAATGTAATGCGGCGTAATCATGAATCAATTTATATTATTATTTCATAAAGTTTTATTGTCATAATTAGCTAGTTCCCTTCGTTCATCTCGTCTTGCTTTCGATGGTGTCTACAATCTCATCTCCTCTTCCCTTGTTAAAATTTTGCAACTTAATCTATACTTAGGGCCTGTTCTTTTACGTTGAAATTCAGTTCAGTTCAGTTCAACTCATTTCAGTTCAATTCAGTTCAGCTCCTAATTTCCTTTTCTTAAAAATATTCATTTCAGTTCAGTTCAGTTCAACTCAGCTCAATTCAGTTCAGTTCAATTCAGCTCAGCTCAGCTCAGTTCGGTTCAGTTCGGTTCGGTTCAGTTCAGTTCAGTTCAGCTGAGTTCAGTCAATGAGAACAGACCTTTAGTATTTAAAAAAGCAAACTAAAAAAGACATATTTCATCATTCTATTACACTTCCCTATCTTCTTCTTTAACTCAATGTGCCACAGGCTAGAAGACTAGTTATATGACTAAAATTGTTGCCAATTACCTTAAAAAAAATTGAAAGTGACAAAAAAGACTTAAATTAAGTTGATCTGGTCTTGTTTTTGCTTCACCTTATTTTTGCTTATTTGATCTGGTCTGATCTAAGTTGATCAGGTCTAGTCTGGTCTGATATGATTGTCTAATTTGACTAAATTTTAACCTTAAATGTATGATAATCTATAAGGAAAAAAAATATCGTGATAATGTTTATTTTATTAATATGTAATTTTCACAATTTTTTTAATTACAAAATTAAAGATATTTAAAAAAGTGCACATAAAACGATGATCTGATCTGAACTTATTTTTTCTGAAACAAGTGAAAATAAGGTGAAATAAAAAAGGTCTAAGTCGTCAATTAGAGAGCACACACTCAAAAGTCAAGTGGTGAAATTTTTGTATTAATCTAAATAACATGTGTTTTACTCATGTTGAAACAATTTAGGTCAATATTGGGCTAGGATGATTTTGAGCTGGGTTTTCTTCGTATCAACCAGGTGTACGTGTCATTGTGTATATACAAAGTATAAATCAATATAATCAGGAAAGTTTGGTTTTGGAATTTCAGCTTCGATTAAAACCAGGTTGAATCAAATATCAATTTCAAACTTAAATAATACGAGTGAGTTTATATTAGAGGAATTAACGAGGAAGATCGGGTTGAAACTGACAGCACTATTATTGAAGATATGAAGCTTATGATGAAACAACTTAAAAGTCACCTTACACCACTTAAAACTTGTAATATTTACAAATTTGGAAATAATACTAGACAATTTTTATACACTTTCTAGTTTTCATTAAAAAATAAATAAAAATAGAAATTCCATTAATTTTAGCTCTCTCTCCTACATGCCTGTATACACTTCCCATGTGAGGTTGTTGCAAACTTTCAAAGTGATAAAAACAATAGAGTTACACGCTTACTCCTTACTTATAAATAGGAAGCATTGCTCCAACATTTAGTTCAGCAAATTCAGCAACATCCTCTTTTCCAAAATATACTTCCTCTTCATACCTCTGCTTACTCTTAGTAAGAAACAAAAATGAACAAACCCATCTTATTAGCTACACTTTTTCTACTAGGATTATATTTCCTAAACGTTAATGTTAATGCATTTGTGGCTTCTGGATGGCAAAAGGCTTCTGCCACTTTCTACGGCGGTAGTGATGCTTCTGGAACTATGGGTATGTTTTTAAATCTATGTTTCTAATCCCTCAATGTAGATATAATTCACTTTGGTTTATGTGATTATGTTTACTATGACATAATAAA